ATTTGCACAATTACCTTCAGAATAAAATTTTCAAGTGTAAATTATTTGTATTAGAATACATATTGTTAATATGATCAATTTCCTTATTAGATTTGATAAAGTATATAAACTATTTTGAAGGTTATTCAAATTTACGTTAAATTGACGTAAATATGTCAAAATTCATGTGTTTTAAAAAATATTCGAATAAAAAAAATAGGTATTAATTTATACATGCTTTAAAAAAAATTAAACATTTTTTGACTAAGATAAATTTTGGGATTTAAGGAACTTAAATCAATTTTTTTTAAACATAAATAATGTTTTTTCTTAACAATAACAATAAGATTATTATTATTGTTTCTATCACAGAAAATTAAAAGGCATTTAAATAAGCTGCAACGCTTATTATTTTAATCCAATTTTGCTTATTTTAATACCAAAATTGATTAAAATAAGCAACATTGGATTAAAATAATAAGCGTTGCAGCTTATTTTAATGCCTTTTAATTTTTTGTGATCCCTTGGAACGACGTCAAAAGTGTGAGATATCGTAAATAGAAAGATAAATAATTTATTCATGAATATTTTACTTTATGCAATGTACATATTTTTATGATCGTTTGAATGTATATAGAAAAAGTTGGTATAATTGAAAATTGACGATAAAACATGTATTACTACTAATAACACGTTGAAAGTTCCATAAAGCACTTGAAGACAGCCAGAGGACGTTACATTTCACATTTTAATCAACTCTCACATCTTATGAACTAAATATTTGCAATTTTTGAAAATGGTAAGTAGATAGCAATTGCTAAAAAGATTGTTTTCCTCAAGAGCAAAGTTGTGATACATTTTTCCTATGAAATTTTTTGAGATTTAACTTTTGAAGGTTTAACTTTTTATACTTGTTTTTTAATTGTAGTTTATAATTCATTACATTACATTATCTAATATATTTCAAGTGATGATAAGTATATTATAAGAATATTACTATACGATTTAAAATTTATTATAGTAAAACTATCTAATAAATAAATTCTAAAGAAATATAATTAATATTATATAAAAATGTTTCTGAAAATTATATCATTGCACAGAAAATTAAAAGGCCTTAAAATAAGCTGCAACGCTTATTATTATAATCCAATTTTACTTATTTTAATCCATTTTGGTATTAAAATAAGCAAAATTGGATTCAACTTTTTTTTTGACCCACAAAAAAAAACCAAACATTTTCGGAAACTAGGACCAAAAAAAAATATGTCTGGCCGTTTTGCTAGATCAAGACGTTTGTGATTTTTAGGGATGAAAACAACCCCTAACTGAAAAGTTACAAGTTATATCTTTTAAAAATTATTAATATTTTATAAAACTTGGTATCTGAGAGTATTCGGGATCGCTGATTATGAATCTGATGTCAGATTTTAAAAATTCAAAATGACGGATCCAATATAGCGGTCAAAATTTTAAAAAGTTATTAATTTTATATAAAATTTGGTATCTAGGGTTTTTGAGGTCGTTGATGACGAATCTGATGTCAGATTTTCAAAATTCAAAATGGTGAATAGAAAATAAAAAATTAATAATTTTTAAATTTCTGGCAGCCATATTGGATCCGCCATTTTGAATTCTGAAAATCTGACATCAGATTAATAATCTACGACCCCGAAAACCCCCCACGGTGCGCCAGAAGGAGGTTTAAATAAAAATGAATTGGTACTTAAAAATTCTTTTTGATTATGGTTCTAAGATGAATAAAAAACTTTTCTCAATAGGTTTTAAAATCAGCTTACGTGCCCAATTTAAATCAAATTGAGTTTTAAATATTTAAAAATAGTATTTTATGAGGAACCAGAATTTATTTAATGTATACTTATATGCGTATAGATAATAGATGTCTTAGATTTGGGTTCATATAAATTTATTAACATTGAAGTTATTTTCTTGTTTTGTTTTTATATTTATGCGCATTAAGAGTGTCGAACGGTATCTGAAATTCTTTAGCAAGAAGAGAGTTTTAATTATCGCGCTCAACGTGAAATAGTATTCATTTTAAAATACTGTTTTCTCGAAACACGAACACTTTTAACAAAATCAGCCAAAATCCTCATCTTATAAATTTCCTAAATCCAAAAGACGGTACGAATCCATAGAAAAACATGGTTGCAAAACAAAAAGTAGAAAAGTAATCTAATAACAGCTGCGACTTTGTGCGCCCTGCATGCTGCTGCCATCTGACGGCGGCAGGAGGTAATGAACCCCTCATTATATTATTTTTTGTTTTGCAATCGTGTTTTTGTATGGTTTCGTATAATCTTTAGGATTCAGGAAATTTATATAAGATAACGATCTCTAGCTGCTTTTGTAAAAAGTGTCCGTCTTTCGAGAAGAAAGTATTTTAAAATCAATGTTTATCATTTTCACGTTTAGTGCCGTTTTTATAGAGCGATAATTAAAGGTCTCTTCTTGCCGAAAAATTTCAGAGATCATTCGACTCTCTTAAATAAATTTTGTTACTCTTAAAATCGTTCTTTTAACATTATAATTTAATTTTTTAAAATCGGACACAAACACTACAGCAATATAATTATTTATATGTAAAATTGAAAATAAGTAATTATTTTATCATTTATTACAGTATTTATAAGATTAAATAAATTCTGATTCCCCATAAAACACTGTTTTTATATAAAAATTCAATTTTATTTAAATCGGGCACGTAAACTGATTTTAAAAACTATTGAGAAATGTTTTTTATTCATCTAAGAATCATAATCAAAAAGAATTTTTAAGTGCCAATTCATTTTTATTTAAACCACCTCCTGGCGCACCGTGCCCTAGATACCAAGTTCGATAAAGTATTAATAATTTTTAAAAGATATCTTGTTACTTTTCATTTACGGGGTTGTTTTCTCCCCTAAAAACGACAAACGATTTGATCTAGCAAAACAGCCAGACGCGGGTATTTTTTTTTGGTCCTAGTTTCCGAAAATGTTTGATTTTTTTATGGGTCAAAAATCGTGTCGCACGGTGTTATTAATGATTTTACAACTAACTGTGCATTAACGTTCTAATAAAAATAATTGTATTTCTATCTACAATTTTTTGATAACAATACGACCTATGCTTTTGTGATTTATGTTATTCATTGTTTTTGGGATATTTTTAAAGTTAAGAGAAAAATTGTACACAAACATTCATATTTCATTAGAAAATTTTGATTTTTTAAAGAATAATTAATGCATAATTTCTGTGTTTTAAGGCGCTTGCACACCTCCGGCTGCCTGCACAGGCAGCCTCCTACCACGCAGCAAACGTACAAGAGTAAGAGAGACAGAAAATTCAAATTTAAATCTACTGACTCTCTGATTGGCTCTTACTGGCTGCCTGTGCAGGCAGCCGGAGGTGTGCAAGCGTCTTTAATTGCATAATTGTCGCTTAATTATATGCGATTTTTAGCGCATAATCATAGTGCTTTAAAATTCATCAAATTACCAACTTTATACATACAACAATAAATTATAAAATTCATCTTATTATTATAGTTAAGAAAAAACATTATTTATGTTTAAAAAAAAATTGATTTAAGTTTCCTTAAATCCCAAAATTTATCTTAGTCAAAAAATGTTAAATTTTTTTTAAAGCATGTATTTAGCTATACTCATTTTATGGCTTTAACTATAAATTAATAGGGGAGAGTGGTCCTATGTCGGCCCTGTGGGTAAAGTCGGCCCCCCCGGGTTTCTCAGAGCTGGCGTTCGCGTCGAATTAATAATTTTGTGGTGTGACATATTAACAAACACTAAAATAATTATTTTAGTGTATGTAAAAAAAGAGTTTGTTTAAAATTATTAATTCGACGCGAACGCCAGCTCTGAGAAACCCCGGGGGGGCCGACTTTACTCACAGGGCCGAAATAGAACCACTCTCCCCTACTTATTTTTTTTAATCGAATATTTTTTAAATACATGCATTTTGATATATTTACGTCAATTTAACGTAAATTTGAATAACCTTCAAAATAGTTTATATACCCAAGAAGCACGTAATATATCCTCAATATCAAGGTAATATTACACGTGAGATTCGTAATATAACGCTGTAATATTACAGTAATCTTACAGTGATCTTAAAATGTCCGCCTCAAGGTAATATTACCGGGAATATTACTGTAATATTAACGGTAATATTACAGTAATATTACAGACTGATTTGAGTTGTTCATAAAGCATAAAAAACGTAAATATATTATAAGTCAATTTGGCTTGTTGGTAAAACTCTGGACTCGTGTGCTTTGAGTTCGGGGTTCGATTCCCTGGATGGGTAGATTTTTTTCGTAAAGAAATGTTCCCATAATATTACTGAAATATTCTTTTGTAATATTACCTTAATATTACGGTATAATATTACTGCAATATTACTGTAATATTACCTTAATATTAGCGCGTAATATTACAGTAACATTACAGGTAATATTACCTTGAGGCGGACATTTTAAGATCACTGTAAGATTACTGTAATATTACAACGTTATATTACGAATCTTACATGTAATATTACCTTGATATTGAGGTTATATTACGTGCTTCTTGGGTACTTTATCAAGTCTAAGAAGGAAATTGATCATATTAACAATATGTATACTAATAGAAATAATTTACACTTAAAAATTTTATTGTGAAGATAATTGTGCAAATTGACGTCATTTTGATCGACGATTTCTCAATAAGTAAATACACAAAAACCTTAGAAATATTTTTTTTCAATACGTCATTCGTCAACAATTTTGTTATAATTTTTAAAAATTTTATATGATGTATATATCGACTATGAATGCGAGAGAGGCAGACTAGATAGACAAATAAAAAACATTTGTGTCAAATATTTTATCGTATGTACCTAACTGAAATTTACATATATAAATTATGAAATAATATCATTATGGTAATGTAATTAAATTATTTGCGGGTATATATACATACATATGTAAGAAAAAATATTCACAACAATTTGTATTTTGTGAGGAAAAAGAAGAAATCCAAAATGAGTAAATTTTGGTTTCTATTATTATTGTCTACTAATTTTACAATTTTTTTCGTAGTCTGTAATATTAGTAATAATGATTCATTAAAAATTGAAAAATACGAGGTTATATATAACATATTCTAATAAAAAAAATAAAAATTTATTTCTAATATTTATAACTAATATTCTTTTTTTTCAAAAAAAATAGTTACAAAAATTTTTAATCGAGATTGCCGATAATATTAAAAATATCGTCGATACTGGCCTTGTTGTTTATGAAAAACTTGATGAATATCTTCTCAGCACATCCAACGGCAACAATGAAATTGATGAATTTTATTCAATTTATAAAATGACATTAAATTCTACATATATTGTGATAGATTCTCTACAAACATTTTTGGAATCATTAAATTCTTCACTAAATATCAATGAAAAGGAAATGTTTTTACAAAAAATCAAAATGAAGCTTATTCAAATTCAATTTACAGCTGTTAATTCACCAATATATTTTTGGAAAAAGGAATATTCGCTAATTAATGAAGAAAGTTATAGTGTAGAATTAGGAAATTTATTAAAAGCCGATATGCAACAAATAGTAGATGCAGCAAACAAGATTGTGGATATTTCAAGAAGAAAGGATCTTGATTTAATAGAAAATTGTAAGATTTTTTTAAATTTTATATTATCACATACTAGACAACAATTAATTCCTACATTAAATGAACTTTATCAAATAAAAACTAGTGAAATATCATCTGCAATTAAAAAAAAGCTACGACATTAAATTTTTCATTTATACCAGTACACAATTGGCCCAGTTCTATTAAATAAATTATAGAAATGTATATATATATCTGAAAATAAATACTTTTATAATAAATAAAATAAAAATTGAATATTTTAATTATTTTACTTTTATCCAGAGCTATTAACATTTTAAAATTGAAAAACATGACTTTTTTGCTTTATTTGTTTAAAAATCTTTTTGTAACTTTAAAATTATCATAACTGAGAGAATATATCTAAAAATAAATCAACATATTATTAAACTTTTTATTATAAAATATTATTAATTTATTGATGTTAAAAATTTCTATGTATTTCTGAAAACATCGTGCAACTACAATAACTTAACAACTTTTATTTAATTATTATAATACTTACCATAAATTGGTCACAAAAATATCTCTTTTTAAGAGGTTTTTTGAAAATTATTTTTAACAATTGAAAACAAATTCTTGGAAAATCAAATGAGTTTTAATTAAAACAGTTTTCAATTGAAAATTCACTGAAATTCAATTATTGTTTCCAGTTTTTAAAAAAATTTCACCAATTCTAAATGAAAGTATTTCAATTAATACTTCTGAAATTCAATTATTATTTCTCAAAATTTTAACTTGAATTCTTCTAAAATACATGTTAGAATCCTGTTTTTAAATTTAGCGCGAGTCACCCATTTTACCATTGTTAAAGCGACATCTATAAAGTCACGAAACGCTCGCGACCTTCACTTCCTGACGAACCGCTTCACGGTGCACTTGTGTCAGATTATCTTTTGTATCATTATTCAAATCACGTTTATAATAAAAGCTGTTTATTGTGTATTCGGGTATTATCACATTTATTTCCGCTGCCCAATCCACTCGATTCTAACAGGTTATGGGCCCAGAACCGCGATAGTGAACAAAGAGTGTTTAGCTTCCTCGAGTTGTGTATAAACGTGGACATTCGAAATCGCGTCTTTACGAGTTATTCAAAATGAGCGCTTCGGGAATCGCGAGAATTGAACTTCTCGGAAAAAATAATTTCGACACCTAGAAGCTACAGATGCAGGCTGTGTTAATAACAAAAGATCTGTGGGAGTACGTCAGTGGGGCAAAAACGAGACCGGTGGCAGAACCGGAAAATACAAACGCGGCCGCAGTGCAAGCTTGGGACAAAAGCGATCAGAAAGCGCGATCGGAAATCATCTTAGCGATGGCTCCAAGCGAGCTGAAACAAATTAAAAACATCGAGACTTCTCGTGCAATGTGGTTACGATTAAGTGAAATTTATCAAAACCAGGGTCCGGCGCGAAAAGCGACTCTCTTAAAGAGACTCACTTTACATAAAATAGCCGAAAATAGTGATGTGCGCGATCATTTGAACGAATTTTTCGACACCGTCGATAAGCTCGGGGACATGAATGTCGAAATGAATCGCAATCAGCTGGCAATTATGCTGCTTTACAGTCTTCCCAGCAGCTTCGAAAACTTCAGGTGTGCAATCGAATCTCGGGACGATTTGCCGACACCTGAAGCTCTCCGCGCGAAAATTATCGAGGAGAGTGATGCTCGCAGAAACAGTGCGCGTAGTAAAAATTCCAATGCCATGTTTGTTCAAAAGAACAAGGAACGAAGTGATCAGTGGAACAAACCTGAAACGAATGAAACGAAGGGGGAAAAGTCCAAAACAATTCGTTGTTATAAGTGCAACAAGCCTGGTCACAAGAAATCGGAGTGTTGGTTCAACAAAAGCAAAAACGATTCGGCAAAATTAGTGGAGGATTTGGTGTTGAATTCGGCGGAAATTTCAAGATTGCATTCGAACGCGTCAAAACCAAAGTGGTGTCTGGACAGTGGCGCTACCTCACACCTGTGTAAAGACTTAGAAAAATTCAGTGACATAGGTGTTAGTAACAAGGGCGTGCTGAACCTCGCGAATAATGTGACAACCGAGATTAATGGAAAGGGAACTGTTCGATTAAAAGTTGATGCATCAGACGGCACAAAAGTGATTTCGCTCAATAACGCGGCACATGTTCCGGATCTTAGGACGAATCTTTTATCCCTTGTAACGATGTAAATCGTTACTTATATTGGTTGGTATCTGTCAGCGTTTTCGCCCCTCTTGATCTATCAGCTGTTTAGTTTTTCGTGTCAGCGTGCCATGAACATGTGTTCTGGCAGTTTTTCTGCGTGAGGATCTGCGCATGTTTGTGCCGCCTAAAGGCCCGATTGTCAGCGTCGTTATCTAGGTTTTCCGGGGAGCTGCCGCCAAATCGTCCAGGGAGAAGGATGGAGCGATAGAGGTGACGAGGAAAAGGGATAGCACGCCCCTCTTAACAGATTAGGAGATCTAGGGGAAGTCGGCGTCAATAGTCAGTCGATTTTGGATCGTATTGAGAGGAAGACCCTTTCGCGGGACTCATAATTTATTATCGAGTTATACGCTTAATTATTATTTAAATAGTTGTATGTGTTAAATAAATCTTTATTCGTTGGTAACTAAATGTGTGTTATTTGTCGTTATCATAGTTTGTATTTATCATCGTCAGTCAACGTCGTCTTAGTGTCGTCATTTCAACGTTGCTGAGTTCTTTTATGGTTAATCTTGTTCTGGGATCATCAATGCACCGATGGTTCGGCTTGGTTGGAATCTCCCTTTGGTATTTTTCAGAGTAAATTGAGATAAGTATTTAGCGTTCGATTAATGTGGACGGTGCAAGCATTGGCATCCCTTGTGGGGAGGCTTTTGACCAAGCATAAAAAAAACAAGATCATTTTTGTGTTGTGTTTTGTCATCGAGGAGAAAATTCCTGTTTTGTCAGCGTGTGTGACGGTTAAAAATTTCGCGCGGTCGTGTGCCGGTAATGGTGTCGCGAGGCATAATTTCAGCGTACATTGATTATTGGAAATAATCAATCAATTTCTCGAACTTAAAAAAAAAGAAGTAAAAATTAACTGTAATATTTAATATAATTTTCATATTGTTCGTGGAGCATCAGTGAATTTTTTTATGTGTGCCGGTGAATTTCGGCGTCCTTTTAAAAGTTAATTCTCAACATGTGCTCGGATATGACGTCATGCGTATGACGTTGCGCGAACAGCAGTCAGCTGAGAGTTTAAAGTCAGTGTGGAAGAAAAAGATTTTTAAATATTGTCTGTCAGATAATTTTCTATTTTCGAGGGTAAATTTATTGAGTATTGAAAGTGCTCGAGAATATAATTTGAAATAAATGTCAATTTGCGAATTTTTTTATGAGTTTTCTATCGTTGAATTGAATTTGGATTTATTTTATTATTTATTATTTTACCGAGTGTGATTAGAGCGAGTATTAGAATTTATATCCTCGACTTATAACACACTCTGTCAGTGAAATGAATTGAGTAGTGTAGCGCCATATATGAGTTCTTAGAATTCTCAGCGTTTTCCTTTTGAACTACGTGAAGATCCTTTTCAGAGTTAATCGGCCAGTGTGTTTAAATTTTTTCTATTATTTCAGTGAGTGTGTATCGGGATTTTAAGAAAGAATTTGTCAGCGTCAAATTAATTTTTTTTTCTCGTTCGCGAATTTACAAACCTTGTCAGGTGACAAGTGAGATTATTCTAAATTCTCGAAGAGATTATTTATTGAGAGAGTTTCATTTTTGAGAAAAGTGAAATTAAGCGATTATAATTGCCACGTGATTTAGTGTGAGTCAGCGTTCGGTGAATTAATTCGTTTTTTAGGTGTTAATTTTTCTTTCTTTCTCTAATAAAAAAAAAAGAAAATTATTTATTTATTTTTTTTATTAATTTGACACTTGTTCGCGACGGACAAAACTTTTTTTTTGTGTCGTGAACGTTTGGAAAATGTTTTATTGGACGTAATTTAGTGTTGCGGGTGCAACATTTATCAGAGACTATTCTTTTTTTTATATACGAAAAAAAAGCGTGTTTCTTGTCAGCGTCCAATTTCATTTGGAATAAATTAATGAATTAATTATTCATTCATTTTATTTTGGGGACTGAATAGAGAATTTTTTTTTATCAATGAAAAATCTTTTCTCTCTTACTCTTATTATATTTTGTGTATTCGGTAAATCGGTACGAGGAAATCAGCGTAATTCAGCGACAACTCAATTGTTTTTAGAAAACGGAAAGAGTCGTATGAGTGCCGCGATTTAGTACCAGGGAATTTTTTTTTATTATTAAGAGTGTTTTCTGTTTTTGTCAGCGTTAGTATTTGATCGGGTAAAGTGGATAATTTTCCGGAATTAGTTTCGTTATCGCGAAGAGTGAAAAATTTGTTTTCATCGACAATGGAGGTATATCAGCGTCACTTCGCGAAACTTTTGGAAAATCTGAATATCAGCGCAAATTGGCAATTGATAACGCGTATGCCTATCAGTGACGTCGTGAGAGAACTGATGAGTCATAATGTGAGCACATTAGGTACGGTGCAGGTATTGCGCGAGAGTTTATTGCGTGTCCGGGCAAGACTAGTTTATGGCGAAATAGTTTTTGTTCCGTGGATTAAAAAATTTGATGCTAGCGATTCGGATGAAGTTTTTCTGGTGGAGGCTATGCCGGATCTAAATAGATTACCGGTACCGGAAGTGGATTTGACAACCGATCAAATTGACGCGAATGACGAAGTGGAGGTGAATCAAGGTGATGACGTGGCGAGCTGCGTGGATTATAACACCGGGTTAGATCAGCAGATACTAACGACTAGTGAGTCAGCGGGTATGACTCCAGCCATAATATCAGCGGCTAATACGGCTGTTAGCAGTGCGGTGTCTAATGTAACGACAGTAGCGCCGACGGTGACAAGTGGAACGTCCGGGACGTCTCCAACAGTAACTTGGGCATTACCGAGCTCTGGTGTGGCTACGCCTAGTTTTGTACCACCTATAGGGAGGTTTAGTCAATTCGACACTCGAATGTGCTATCTCCCCCATAACGGTACGGTGTTTACCCATAATACTAATACCGAGGTTAATTGGGCGTCGCGGCCTCCCGAACAAAATAGTCAGCGTCAGGGACAAGCGTTACGGAACTCAGC